TGTGTGTTGGCCACAGACAGCGAACCACATCACCTCTCACCCAAAGATCTCCCACCTGACTTTCATCGGTTCGCGCCCTGTATGCCTAAAGGTCGCTGCCTCAGCTGCCAAGTCTCTCACACCTCTGATCGCGGAATTGGGTGGCAAGGATCCCTCCATTGTCCTCGACTCCGCCGCCAAGGATTTGAAGCGCATCGTTGAAATCCTCATGCGAGGTACTTTCCAAGCTTCCGGACAAAATTGCATTGGAATTGAGCGCATCATTGCTACGCCGAAGCTTTACGACCAGCTCGTGGCAACCCTGGCGCCAAAGGTTCAGGCTCTTCGTCTGGGACCGACTGCAGACGTGGGCGCCATGATTTCGGATGCCGCGTTTGACCGTCTCGAATCCCTCGTTGAGGAGGCAGTCAAGCAAGGAGCCCGCTTGCTGGCAGGTGGCAAACGGTACATCCATCCAGAGCACCCCAAGGGCCACTACTTTGTCCCGACTCTCCTCGTCAATGTCACCCCTGAAATGGAGATTGCCAACGAAGAGTGCTTCGGCCCCGTCATGACCATCATGCGCGCTCCTGGCCCCGACGTAGACTCAGTTCTGTCAGTGGCCAACGCGCCGGAATTCGGGCTCGGTGCTTCCATCTTCGGCGGCGACAACGATCCCGTTCTCCGCGCCGTCGTCGACGGCCTCAACACCGGCATGGTAGCCATCAACGACTTTGGCGCAACCTACGCCGTCCAGCTCCCCTTTGGTGGTGTCGGCGGCTCCGGCTACGGCCGGTTCGCCGGCGAGGAAGGACTCAGGGGCCTCTGCAACATCAAGAGCATCTGCGTCGACCGCTTCGGCTGGCTGGGCGTTCGAACGGCCATCCCCCCACCCGTAAAGTATCCCGTTCCAGAACAAGAGCGGAGCTGGCGGTTTACTAGAGGTGTCGTTGGCGTGGGTTACGCGCAGAGTCTGGCGGGCAAGTTCAAGGGCATTCTCGACATGATGAAGAATGCCTAATTCACCTTGAGTAACCCTTATGAATGTTGAATGAAAATGGAAGGGTTGAGCTACCTTGACTTGCTAGATATTGTATAATAGTGATAATGGTGGAAGGAAAAGTGAGAGGTTAGAGGCATAGATACGAAGTTAATCAGAAGCATCAAGACTTTCCATTCATGCCAAGCTTCATTCCTGTTCATTTCCATCACATCGTAAGCCTCAAAATATGTCATACACGTGGCATCGAACCAGGGAATCAGACGAACAAGGCCGGCTGATTTGCTTTCTTTCTCCTGATGGATGTTGTCAGCCAAGGACTTGATTCTGTAGCATCAGGCACGTTCATAGTCGGAATCTCAAGAATGATTTAGTCTGGAGGCGCGAGGTCTGGTATCAAGAAATGAAATGATTCATTAGATGCGATCCTATTCCATTCTGGCAAACTCCATCAAAGCATTCCGAATAGACCGCCCCAACTTCTCTCATCTATCTCTTCCATGGTCGACATACCCCGCAAAGAACCCAAACTTTGCCTCTGGAAATGCAGAAGGTATTATCTAATTACCAAGAACCACCACCGCCAGAAGTAGCGCCCCAAGCGGGAGCGGCCTCGGGCTCCTCCTGCTTCATATCGTTGCCGGCAGAATCGCCGCCGCCACCACCCCAGCCAGAGTCGCCTCCAGCATCGCCACCACCGCCCTCGTTGGACCAGCCGCCGCCCTCGCCGCCAAGGTGAGCAATGCCGGCCTCCTCGGGGTCGAAGTCGCTCTCAGTCTCGAACTTGAGGTTCTCGAGGCCCTTGCCAGTGGGCTTGAAAGGCTCGAGGAAGTCAGGGATTTCCTGCTTAGTCTCCAAGAGGGTGCGAACGAGAACGCTAGCCATGGGCTCGTCGCGATCAGTGTAGAAGGAAGTCGCAATGCCACGCTGACCCATACGACCGGTGCGACCTGGTAGTCGGTTGCGTTAGTACTGTTTCAAATCACGAGAGAAAAGGCGTAGGGCCATGTTTGATAAGCAGACGAAAACATGCAAGAGAGAGCTTTGCTTACCGATTCTGTGGGTGTACTCCTCAATGCCACCGTGATCCAAGCTGGGCAGGTCGAAATTGATGACGTGGTTGACATTCTTCACGTCAATGCCGCGAGCGCTGATACCAGTGGCAATAAGGATGGGAGACTTTCCAGCACGGAAAGCGCGCATAGAAGCCTCACGCTCAAGCTGAGTGCGATCAGCATGCATCGAGGTGCAAGGGAAGCCAAGGTTGAACAAGAAATCATCCAAGTCATCGCAAGTACGCTTCTGGTTGACGAAGATGATTGTACGACAGGCAGGAAGAGAGTTGATCTGGTCCTTGAGAGCCTCCTTTTTCTCGAAAGCGTCGAACTTGAAGACGCGCTGGAGGATGTTGGTGTGGGTGCTTCCAATGCGACCGATGTTGATGCGGACGCTGGAGGAAGACAGGTTCTCCTTCGCGAGATCGCGGAGCGGCTTGGGGAAGGTAGCCGAGAACAGCATGTACTTGATATTTCCCTCCTGCTGTTCTGAAAAACAAGGTTCAGTGGAAGTTCGCGACAAGAACCGGGAAAGAGCACTTACCACCGCCAGTCATGATGACGTCCATCTCCTCACGCCAGTCATCGTGAAGCATCTCGTCGGCCTCGTCGAAGACCATGTATCTCAAGCGCTTGAGCGAGAGAGTGTCGGGCCGCTGGATGAAGTCGACAAGACGACCAGGGGAAGCGATGAGAACATCACAGCCCTTTCCAAGCTGCTGAATCTGGTCTCTCAAGGGACCACCGCCATAGGCGACACAGGGGCGAAGCATAGTTCTGTAACAGAACTTGCGAGCCTCGTTGAAGATCTGGATCGCCAACTCGCGGGTGGGACAAACGATGACCACTAGAGGCTCTGCACGAACCCACTGCTGTCCAAGAGCAATCTCGGCAGGGTTGGGGCGAGGGGCAGCGAGCTTCTTGGCCTTGCCCATGAGCTTGTTCAAGATGGGAATGAGGTACGCAGCGGTCTTGCCGGAGCCTTTTTGAATGCGTTAGAAATATCGAACCAGATGCAAACAGAGGAAAACTTGCCGGTCTGAGCGATAGCCACAACATCGAGACCCTTGTGAATGGCAGGAAGGGTGTACTTCTGGATGGGCGTAGGGGCCTCGTAGCCGCAAAGCTCGATGTTCTCCAGCATGACAGGGTGCAGGCCGGCGTCCTTGTAAGAGTGGACAGGCTCGACATGGATCTCGCCCTCCTGGGTTACCTCGACAGAAGAGATGCTACAAGCCATCAGCTTTGTTCAATGCATTGCCAAGAGGGAACCTACACGGAGAAGTCGAGGCCGGAGTTGGAGGCAATGCGGGAGTTGGAATCACCGAAAAGAGCCAGCTCGAGGTCGGGGAACTTCGGGCCAACATCGCCAAACTCCTTATCCCACTCGTAAACGGCACCGTTGCCAGCCCACTCAGTCGCAACCTCGGGACCCTGCTGGGCAAGCTCGTCGTAGTTGTAGGGCAGAGGCTCAGCCCACTTCGTACCATCGCTGTTGACAGCAGCGGCAGGGGCCTTCTTGCCATCGGCAGGAAGAGCCGACTGCATATCGGCAGTGTCGAAGGCAGACATCTCGGCGGGAGGAAGCCTGCTCGGGTTGATTAGTTTTTGGGTTTTTGGAAGGCCAGTAGAATGCGGCTCGTAGTACTTACCTTGGTTTGCTTGATCGAAGGATGCTGCGAAGATTGCAAGGAAGACTACACGGAGCGAGAACCTTGGTGCTGAACGTTTTGGTGATGAGTTAGTACAGCGCAAAGGAAGAGGAAGGATATCAGATTTGTATCAGGGTAAGGAATGGACACCACTGAAATCCGAAGCCGGTTGATGTGGTTACAGGAAGGAAGGAGGGATCAGAGGTCTGACAATTTGCCGTGATGGAATCTGGCAGGAGCTTTGAAGAAAGGATATCTCCCAGAGGCTGCAGTGTCTTTGACGGGGAATCAAGGCTGGAAAAGAAGGAAAGATTGAACGCGAAGTGAAATAATTTGGGGGATTGAAGCCAAGAATTTGACGCTTGTCAATCCGTTCTGCAATCGAAGTAGAAGACGGCCAGGGAGAGAACCCGCGAATTTGCAAAGATGCGCAGAATCCGTCGATGAATCGATGACAGGCAATGATGAAAGAACAAATAGGAAGAATGAATTCTCTGATCCAATAATGTGGAAAGTACTTACCTCTCAGACGAAAAATGAAGTCAAAAACTGATCTCCTGTTGGCGATCCTTTCTCGACGATCTGCGGTGGGTGTGGAGGAGAGGAGGGAAGAGGGAAGAAGTTGAGCAGCAGCAGGTGAGATACAAATATCTGTGGTGGGAGGACTTCGGAAGGCTGGAAGGCGGTCGGTCGGTCCGTGGAGGGCAAAAGGGCTGAAAGTCGAGGGCAGGCACCGCCCTCATAGGAAGGAAGACACGATGAACTAGGCAAGCAGAAAGGACGACTAAGCGGGGATGAGGGTTGAAGTGTGACTGCCTCGTGAGGCTTTCAGATCGGGCGGGAGAGTTCCACTGAGGATTTGACCTTCTGCCTCATTTCTGAAGGCTCAATTTGAACTTGAAAACACTGGACGAAATCTCATCGAAGCTTTGGACGAGTGGAAAGGCAAGACGAAGAGAAACACCCCTTCTTTGACACCGCTCATCTAACATGACACTGTCTTCTTGCCATGACAAGGTCGTTCGAGTTGGCTATCTACAGCCAGAAAGAAGATGAAAAGTGAGAGAACTAGTACGACTGGAGGTCAAAGAATGCACAAGTGGTCTTAGAAAGACAAAGGCGGGTGAAAGGTCTTGAAGATGCAAAGCATTCTGCGTATCTCACCTTTGTGTCTGAAGTTGAGTCAACTTGATTAGTTCATGTGGAGCATTTTACCACCAAATCGGGGCATATGAGATGCTCCTTGACAGCGATTTGGTGTTAGGGATTAATCTAGACGAAGACAGTTCAGGACTTTCCAGCCTAAAAGGCTCACTATATGATTCCAAAGGACATTCATTCACCTGAGAGATGTCCCTCAGTCTCTTGCATTTTTTAGACAACAGGGGTCTCACCGAGGTGAGATGGGTATCATTAACGTATCCATCTATGGATGCTACAGGATATGAGGTAGCGGATGACGACGCTCTTAGAACTTACTTAGCGGCTTAAATAGCACTTCGTTCCGTCCGCCAATTCCAATAAAGCAAACGTCTAGTCTTCTCGCGATGAAGTCCGGAATCTTTCTATCTCGGAAAAAACCTTCCGGCGCTTTACTTTGCTCCGAGAGGCAGGACGCAGGTACTCGAGCACTCAGGTTCAGCGGCAGTGACTGGAACCTCCAATACTGCGGGGGAGGCTGATGTGAGCAGGCAATCTTGTGGGACAGGTTGCTGAGACCGGCAAAGATTGTAGACGATTGTAAATTTGTGGGGCCAAATCCTTCACCACAGATCAAGGAGATCTTGAGGCTCAACAGCAGACGTCGCCTCGTACCCGCTTAGACCTTCGGTCAAGGCCTGATCCAATGCAACGGCCGATCGACCGATGGTGCCGCCCTCCTTCTTAGACTGCTCCACGCCTCGCTGGAACGAATCCATGAATCTCCTGTGGAATACCCGTTGCCGTGACTCGCGGTCATTATACATCTCAGCTTCCTCGTCCCGGCGAGTCCCAAAGAGGTTCAGGTACGCAAAAGGGTTCGGCGTCCGGGGCACCCGGTACATATTGTCCGCATAGGCGTTGGGGTTACTCGGCCCCGCAATCTCAGGCTTGAGTCCCGCCCGCAGAAACCTAGCCAGCACGGCGACCTGCCTCGCGTGAGACTGTGCGTCCTTTGTGCGGAGGCCTGTCTTGGGCGCGGTTGACCAACCCGAGCTCGTCTTCACGGTCCAGCCCATTAGCGCGCAGAAGCTGTTGAGGGTCTTTACCCAACCGCCCGGGCAGCTGACGGTCTCGTCTTCTGCGACATCCAGAAGCCACTCGAGAACGGATAGCGAGTCGTTGCTGATGTCGGCAGAAAGGTGGGTCATTCCTGCACGGGTATACATGATGCACTTTTCGGCGTGATGTTTGACCTCCGCCTCAGGCAGGGCTCGGAACAGCTTTAGCAGCTGGCTGCGAACAGGACCTGAGGCGTCTGAGATCAGGGGCAGAAGCTTGCTCAGCACTGTTGCGGTTCCGACGGGGTTGTTGTCTGCCAGCACCTGGCTCGTCAGGTGGGCCAGAGATTCTTTGCGCTGCTTGTCTGCTCTTGATGTAGAGGCTAATGAGAGGTTGTGCTTGAATTGGGTGGCGTTGTCAGGGGCTTCAGTTGATAGCTTCTGGTGGCCCATGGCGATAGACTTTGCCTTGAAACTGGTGTCTGTGAAGTTGGTAGGCTTGGCCTTGGCCTTTCCCACCTTGAACTTTGGTTTCTGTGAGAGCATGTCAGTATTGATGCGAGGTCTTAAGAGAGGCAGCGATGCGGTTCGGTTCACATATGTCGCTGAGATGCTCATACCGCAAAGTCCTTGGCCTTTTCCTTCTTCTTTCTCGTGCTTGAACCCATGATGTCTTATTTATCGAATATTCTTTTTTAGAGCTGACGATAGTTTATTCGCAATTCTTATGATTAAGAGGCTGTATTTTCGTAGTATTTTCCGAGTGTCGAGCAATGAACTCTTGGTCACTTTTCACATGAGATGGCTGGCTCATTGGAGGTTAGGACCCCTGCAAAATCTGGAGCCAGAACTTTTCGGCGGTCAGATGCGGCAGAATCTGGCCAAGCTCTCAGCCCCACCACAACGTTGAGACGCTGTTACCCGGTGAATTCTAGCTCCAATTATTGGGCACCTTAGCTTCCAACCCAGCCTTACAGACGAGACCCGACCTAGCTTTCGGGGACATTCGTTTGTTTTCACGATTCAACGACACTCGATTATTTTGCGAAGTTCCAGTGAAGTTTTGATACAACTCCAGACGAAGCATCGCCCGCACCTGTCTCTCGTTTATTCAAACACCAGTCTATCAAATATGGCCGACGCAACACCCGTGAGCGACCTCGACCCCTCCTCCTCTTCAGCAATGGCGTCATAGCTAAACAAAGAATGTGTCCCCTCGCAGACCAACGGACCAGACGCGCTGGACGAGACCCTCAAGCGCCTCTCGAACAAACCCGGCGTCAAAGCCACCGTCATCCTCGACCGAGTCACCGGCGCGATACTACGGACGAGCGGTCAGCTGTCGTCCTTCAACGCAGCAACGCTACAGACTTCCGGAGGAGGCTCCTTCTCAGGTGAGGGCGCCGCCGCGCAGCAGCAGCAGAACGGCGAGGAGCAACCGCAAGGCCTTGAGGACTTTGCCGCAAAAGTCTGGAACTGGGTGAATGTATCGGGCACCCTGGTGTTGGATCTGGATACCGAGGTAAGAAGAGGGACCCGTTTTCCCGTAGAGTGACTGGGGAACGAATCTTGACCCCGAACGAAGGGCCGGGGCTAACCATTTGGAACAGGATGAGTTGAAGCTACTGAGGCTACGAACGAAGAAACAGGAGCTGGTCATCGTACCGGATCCGAAGTACCTCCTCATCGTAGTACACGACACACCGCCGGCCTGAGGAATCTCAAGGTCTGGCTCACGATTTTGGCATCGTTCGGCGTTTCACGGACTTATCCCCATTGGCTTCACTGAGCGTACGTCCTTCAGGAGGATTTGAATTTGCCAAGCTGAAGAGTACAGGGCCAGGATTGGCATGCTCATTGGCCGATCCCAAAACGATCGTATTTACAAATACGCAAGGGAAACTGGGAAACCCTCCTTCAAGGTGCCAAGCTGCAAGCTCTACGCACATACACACACATTGAAAACAAACAGGGGGGGGGGGGGAGAAGAGAGATAGATAGCTCGGCATGGACGGTCGAGGCGGGCGCGATTACGAATGATACCCTGATATTACCATCCGCCACGAATCCCCCAGCATATACGTCCGGAATGAAGCCGGAGCGGGTGTTCCGCGGGCGATCGCGGCCAGGGCCGCGGCGCTGCCGGATAGCTCGAGATAAATGCAAGAAATGATAGACAAGTGCAAACTCAAAATGATGTTCGAAGCCATCATCGTTTCGTGATATAGGACAAGGCGGACAGCCTAGCCTAGCCCAGCCCAGGCCCCCGCGGAAGTCATACCCGTCAGCTCCGGGAGCTGGGCATTTCCCTGCTTTCCGCGAGGAACCGTCCGAGCCGAGACGTCCGTTTCTCCCCTGCCTTGTGTTAAAAAAGATTAACATTAGCATTCTGACACTGGCACTTCCAGCTCTGAAGCTAGATAAGCTAGCCTCGCGAACCAGGTGTAGCACCACGGACATGAGCTCAATGTCATCCGGGAAGACCAGTGGCTCGCAAACATATTGGTAAGCCCCTCCCCCCGAGCTTGGTTGGGGCTTTGGGTGCGCCTAGAAACGTGGCGCGACACCGAATGAACGGGAAGTGGGCTGGGACTAGGCCGGGATGAGGCGCCGGTTCGGATCTGGAAAGTCGAAGTTCAAAACGTTGACGGGCAGAGGTTGCAACCACACAGTCACACACACACACACACCCCTTGCCCCCCCCCCCAACACCTGGGAATTAAATTAAAGGCCCTTCCCCTTGAAGAAACCGCCAGTCCACTACCACCCACGTCGCTTTCTCGCTTCAGAGTCGCTTCGGGCTTGCTGACCAGTCGGCGGTCGAGGATTTGCTACTTTGGCGACATTTCAAGTGGACGCCGGCGAGGAATTTGATGCGGCCACACTTTTTTTTCTCCCTCTCTCTAAACACATACTAGCGCACCGTTATGTATGAGCCTTGTTGTTTTGGAAATCTTTCCTCCTCTCGTTTCAGTAACTTGTGGCGAGGCCTTGCCGAGACTCCGGCGGTCTTGTTAGGCTTGCTTGCCTAGGCCCTTCGTCCTCTTCTGTTTCTGGACCTTCTCGTGTAAACTTGTCGTAAAGGGAGATTGGGGCTCCTTTAGAGTTTCCTTTAACCTTTTTCTTGCGTCCTTCTGGACGTTCTCGCTTCTGTAGTAGGTAGCTTGTCAACGTCAATATGTCCACGTAACGCAGCAGGGCCAGCTCTGTTGCAACTTATTGGTGTAACCCGTTCCGTTTTGAAGTCACCTCGGCGGCGGGCTTTTATTTGAACTTTGCTGGGGAATTTTGGATGGCATTATTGTCAGGGTTCAGAATTAGTCCGCGGGATACAGCTCTCTACTTCCCGAACTTGTCAACTTGTCAAGAGACCTTTCTGATGATATGCCTTCCTCCCCTTTCTCGGCTCGCTGGAAGAACCGGAGCTCCAGCTGAGAATAATTCCACCCCTTTCTTTTTCGTCCCTCTCCCGTCCGCCTGCCTCCTTGCTCCAGTGATATGAGACGAAGATGTTCGAGAACAATGGAGAGAAGCCCAGCTCTGCTCCCTCGTTGTTCACATCGCGCCCACACCCACCCCCGTGACATGTCGTCTCATGTCCACAGTCCAGGTAGATCCAGGTCCACCAGCTGCCCAGTGCTCATGCTCTCTGGCGGAGACCTTCTCCCAAGCCACGACGACGGAGGCCCCCCTTGTCAAAGGAAAGTTGCCCCATGTCCGGTTCGGTCGTGGCGGGAAGGGTAGAGTAGAGCTTGTCGTTCTGCCGCGTGAGGCAAGCTTCCCGTTGCCTTCGTTTCGGAAATCATTCTTGAAATAGGTCCATGATGTTTTCGATACTAGACCCTCTCTATCTAGATTTCAGAATGGTCACGAGGGGGAGGCAAATTGGGCTGTAAAGTTCGAGCTAGAGCTTCAAAGCCAGGAGTTCAAGGTCATCCTTGTGTCCAAGGACTCGGTTCCAATTAAATCCCACCATTCATGATCGGCTCGGCGGCGTTTGAATGCTGGTCCTTTGCTAGACGTTCGAGAAGAACAGCCGAAGGGAAGATCTTTAATGCCAAGGGGAGGCGGGCGGAAAGATGTTCAAGGTCTTCAAGACTTCAAGCCACACACAAACAGACTGCGGCACGGCACTCCGTAATACGCTATTTCTCTGCCGGTCGGCCCTAAAACCTATTGGTGGCACAATGCGTACTTCGGCTTGCGAAGGAAAGTGATGTGCGACGACTGGGCCCGGCAAATGGGTTTTGGTTTACTGACGATGGTGGCGTTCGACTTCTGCAAGAAATGTCAAATTACACCATCTTTGCCGCACAAGCGTGGTCCTTGCTAATTCGAACCTGGCCCTGCCCAGATTCTTTTGCACTGCCTGTCCGGAGTACCTGATTGATGTTTGACCTTTTAGCGGCATATACGAACTTCGTGGTATTCTTGCTTTTTGGCCTTTCTCTTTAATAATGTGGTGGTATGTGCATTCTTTTTCTTCTTTCTCGCTATTGTCCAACCGGAGCCGGGGTGAGTGAGGGTCTCTCGGGGTCAGAATCCCACGATTCCGGTGAGTATTGAAATCAAGGCCTTCCGAGAAGAGCAAACAACGCAACATCAACCAGAGAAAAAAGCCCACCGCAGCTGCAACATGAAATCCATGAGACATACACCTTGATCCATCATCAATCCTCCCCTCCCCTCTCTGGATTCCCACTGCCCAAAGGGGTGGAGAGGAGCAATGTTGTGTGGGCTTGCGGATCCCCGAAACCACCTAATCAGAGATCTTCCCCAAAAAGACGAACGAGACCCCTGTCTTGGAGGGCCGCAAGCTGGCGAGCATCGTAGCGGCTTAAGGCAAGTTGCGTGGATTTCACATGCACTTCTCGATGAGCGAGAAGGCTTAGAGCTAGGCCAGCTGGCTGGTTTATGGATACCTGCTGTGTAGTGTGATTTCCAGCTTTCTGAATCTGGCCTGTTGCAGATGTCTTTGCGTTTCGCAACTTCCTTCGTCTCTTTTTTCCTGGATCTCCATTACTTCACACGAAAAGACATTTCTTCATAATTCCTTATTCTTTCTTCATCACCAAGTCCATCTAGAAGAAACTCCACATGTTTGTTGGTGACGAGGTGGATGCCCCTAAAATGGTGTTTTGTTGCGGCCGTGATCATGGATCTCCTTTTCCCCTTACCCGCTGCGGCTGTCTGATGTGCGTGTGTGTGTGTGTGTGTGTGTGTGTGTGTGTGTGTCTGCTCATCCTTTTTTCTTGCCTCACGCACCCCTGTCGAGTCCTCAGTAGACATCTCTCGTTGGTGATGGACCTGCCGGAGACAATGTAAGACCGAAAAAGATGAGCGGCGGGCAGAATGCACGCTATCATGCAATCTGACATTAGCACCGCTGCAATGACGAAGTGAGGGAGGGTATAATTTGGTTGGCGTTATACGGGATAAGATGAAGAGAAAAAAGCACAAGCCGCCAATTTCAAAATCTGACATTCCTCTCCTCTGTGCGCGCCGTGCTACCTTTCAGAATTGCCATTAGAGCCGGTCGTCATCTTGTTGATCTCCTGTTCTTTTCTGCCCTGCTGCTTTATCATCATTACACCACGGCAATTCCAAGGCCACGGCAAGGCGAGAATGGCGAAGCCGGCCGCCACGCGGGAGTCCGGGTGGGGCACCTAAGATATCCTAGAGGTTTACATGGAACTGGGCTCTTATTTTTCTTGCTAGGCTGAGCACTCCCGATGAAGTCACAACGCAGCAAGTTACACGACGAGGGATGGGAGACAGAAAGAGTGCAAAAAACACAACACACACAAAGTCCATGCCATGCCTGCAAGACGCGGAACGCCCACTCTAGCACTCACACCCTCCCCCCTGGTCCATCTGGTTTATGGGGTGGGAGAATGACGAACGAACGGGACACTGAAGCTCGCTCTGCTTCCATAGGGCGTTCTTTTTTCGTCTCTTCCCTAATCTTGTAATCTTTCTGATCTCCACATCGGTGCTTTTTCCTCTCTGCTCGTCCCTGTCTCTTTACAGTCTACATACCTTTTTCTCACTCGACATGGGAGCATTGAAGATCTGAGACTGCCGTTCGTTCTGCCCACCCTTTTCTTCTGTTAGCCCGGGGTGGGAGGGGGAGGGGGGGCTCATCTTCCTCGCTTCCCTCCACCCCCAGAGCTCTCTATCCCAGGGTATGCAGCTATATTCAGATACGTGAAGAGTAATAGGCACGAGGACGCTCTCCTCTCTCTGTTTTTCTCGCTCTCCTTGCCGTAGCGGACTAGACAACCAGATCCCCTCCCCCCGGTGCCTTGTTGCATGTCGCCTGCGGCTAGGACGAGGGGTACACCAACAAAGTGGACATGGCTTCCTCTGCGGCCCCCCTCGTCTTGTCCTATCCCGTGGATGTCTTATCCCGTTACTGTCCACTGGTCCAGTTGGAAGGGGACCCCCCTTCGTCGAAAGAGTCAAGCCCAAAGGGCCCCAGGCCTAGCCCAACACATGGACTGCGTGAGTAAATGAGAGGCAGAGAGCGTGTCCAGCAGCGCAAAGAGGGGAGTGAGGAAAGCAAAAAAAGAGAGAGAAATAGTGGATGATAACAGATAGAGAGAGATACGGATACAGAAAGTGTTGTTCTTGTTGTCACTCCCCTCCAAGTCCAAGACCACCCCTGCCTTGGCAGACCGTCGGCCGTGTGTGTCTGTCTGTCTCTCTTGTTGATTCGCATTTATTTCTTGTTTTAACATCCTGCCGCCTTGCCTCTCATTTGCTGTAAGACTGTGCGTCTCCCACTTCTTTGCTTCTGATTCTCGCCTTACAAGACTTGACCCCCATCCCCCTCCCCCTTCTCTATCTACTACGTCTCTTTTTTTTTTTTTCCTGTTTATTTTCTTACCTGCCTACGACCTTTCGAAGCTTGCCTGCCTATCGTTTACTCAAGCCTTCGTCCACCTGCCTTGCTACAACAAAACTTGGACTCAACACCGCGC